CCCCAAAACCCCAAAACCCCAAAACCCCAAAACCCCACAATTATGAAAAGTAGTTGAACCCAAGATATTTAACAATTTAAAGGATTGTCAATTTTAAGGACAATGCTGATATGAGCAAGGTCCTCTCCTAAAAGTTCTTTAACTTGGGTCTTTCTGATTCCACAACCGTTTATGTTGATCTCTTTTAGAGAGAGTTTCAAGGATGATCCTCTAATAGCTGTTATGATGTGTCCAAACAAGCTAGGGTCTTTGTCCCAATGCATGTTGTTCCATGCAGAATATCCACAATTGAAGAAACTCAAGTACTCAAGCGAAGAGTCACCATGAGTTTCAAAATTTAAGGCATCTGAAGTCTCAACCTTGCAGTGCTTGATGATCAACCTCTTCGAGTTGGCTGCTCCCTTCACAACGGCACTAAGGTCTTGAGGCTCGAGGATCATCTTCGAGAGATACACTTCATGAGAAGTTACACCAATGGGTTTCAAAATATGCTCTCTGTAGAACCCAAATCTAATTGCATGCTCCTCATCCATTAAATAAAAATGGTTAAAGATGAAATTTCTCACAGTCGCTACAGAATCAAGACCTAAAAATGATCTTAGTCCTTGGTCATCATTCTTGACATTGTTGATGACAAGATTCTTGATGACTGGGAGCACCAGGAATGATTTCGATATCAAATCTAAAATGCGTTTGCCTTCTTCTTTGGAAAGATCCATATCTACATCTAAATAGAAAGGTATTAAATAAATCATTGACTTAAAGAATTCTTGAAGCTTACTTGGAGTTATTCTGTCAACAGTTTCTTTAAAATCTTGTTTGATGTTCTCTCTGTCTTGTCGAGTTTCTTCTAATTCTATTGGATTTATGAATAAGTTTACCTTCATCTAGTTCTTGGATTTGTGCGTTTAAACTCTGCTCAATTTCTTCAATTTTGATCTCTTCTTCACGGTCTCTCATGGCTTTGTAATTTACCTCAATAGCATTCTTATGCTCTTCAAGCATAAGGTTTAGTTTCTTCTTGAGCTTTGAGTTTTCAGAGGATTCTAAGAGCTTAGTTTACATAGCATACCATTATTTTTCTTGTGCAAAGTGCTCATGATTAATGATACTCTCGATCCAAAGGAAACCTATTCTTCTGAGAACAGGATCTTCTTCAATTTCGGATACTAGGCTATACATTACCGTTTTAGAGGAGTTGAATAATAAGAGCTAAACTTACCTGTCAACACCGTCTTTCAGTTCTTGGAACTTTGGAAAAGCATCGTCATCAATGGCTTGGTTGATCTTTTTGTCTAACAAGTACATGTTTTGATAAAGATTCTTGAAGGTAATATCTACTCCGTCAAGATATTTTGAGCAGGCATTAATTGCAGATAAGTCTTGATACTTCAAAATTACTTTACAGACTTTCTTAAATTCTTCTAAAACTTCTCTTAGATCTTTTACATCAATGATCTCTGTACAATGTCTGTGATACTTGTGACAGGATTGGCAGAATGCCATTTGATGTTCATTTACACAATAGTACTCTCTGTTTTTAGTGCATGTAGGATGCTCACAAAGATATTTACTCCTAAAGAATAAGTACTGGCATTACTTTTGGCGAGTCTTTTCCTTTTTATTCTCTTCTTTGGCCTTGGTCTTTACCAAATTTCTGTTAAAAGCCCTTAAAGTCAGCATTAATTATTTATTATTCACCGGGGTTTGAGCTTTATGGGGTTTTGGGGTTTTGGGGTTTTGGGGTTTTGGGG